GGCACGTTCGTGGGCAAATTCGGTTCCTGCGGAAGCGGTCGCGGCCAGCTGGAACACCCTCATTACATCGCGGTGAGCAACACAAACCGCGTGATCGTCAGCGACGGCAACAACCACCGTATCCAGATATTCGACGTGAACGGCCGCGTGCTGACCTCCTTCGGATCCGAGGGCTCCGACGAGGGTCAATTCAAGTTCCCAAGGGGTGTCGCTGTGGACGATCAAGGCTACATCGTCGTCGCCGACTCTGGCAACAACAGGATACAGATATTCAGCCCAGAGGGGGCGTTCCTCAAGTGTTTCGGCGGCTGGGGTAGCGGTGACGGGGAATTCAAGGGCCTAGAGGGTGTTGCCGTCACATCGACCGGTAACATCGTCGTGTGCGATCGCGAGAATCACCGCGTTCAAGTCTTCTAATTTTCATTTCGATTCTATTCTCCGTTCTGTGATTCTTGTCGGCCACGCACAACACGTCGAACGATCACGAACGAGATGCTGTAGAAGATGTACTTTTCGGAAGGACGAGGTCCTTGATTTTAGTCAAATGGGTTTCCAGATCGCTCGCGAAAGAAACGAGCGAGACACACACGTCGCGTTAACCGCTTGCTTGCGTTAGGAATTAACACGTAGCTGCGTTGTGCTGAGCTAATCTCTTCTTACGGGCAAGCCTTTTCATGCGCAGACCATGGAAAGCTTCGATTTTCCTCTCGATGGGAAACATGTGTTTGAACGATCGGCTGGAAATTTCGCGTTCCTCTCTGCTGTTTCGATGTCGATGCGTCTCAACTGCGACAACGGGACGAATGCGGCGACGATGGGATCGAAAAGGAACTCTTGGACGTCGGTGAATTGTGAAGTTTAGCTTGAAGAATGAAACAAAAAAAAAAAGAAAAAAGAAGAAAAAAATATCACTTTATCTGTTCTTCTCTCTCGTCTTACCCCCCTTTCCCTCATTCTTACCATCTTCCTCGTACGCACGTCATACTCGCGTAACTTAACTTAATTTATACTCACAAAGTGACAACAACAATACAGTTTGTACCGTTTGTATGCTTTAAATGAATTGTTGCGGAGGTAATAAAGGAGAAACGAAAAAAAAAAAAAAAAAAAAAGAGAAGAAAAAGAAGAGATGTCTCGTTTGTTTTCACCGAGAGATTTCCATGAAAGACCAAAGGAAAAGGGGGAGGGGGAGGGGAAAAAGGAAAAGAAAATCTCACCTTCTTTTATATCAAAATCCATTGACGATCTCGTTCTTAAAAAAAAAAAAAAAAAAAAA